AAGGAAGGAAGGTCGGTCTCTGTCACCAACAACCAAGAGCATAAGGCCACCAACGCTTCTTTCACATGTTTCCCCATTCTTAGCTTAGGGTCAAAGCTATGATGAGGTAAAGTCAGGCTTGGGGTCCTTTTGCAGGAGTAGAAGGAGACAGGGTCCATTCATTCACTCATGCATATACCTAACAAACATGTATTAGCACCTACTGTGTGCCAGGTGATGTCCGGCCTCATCTAGCCAAGCAATACATTTTCCTTGATACTTTTCTTTCCAGACAAATTCCTTCTCTCTAAAGCAGGCGTCCTCAAACTATGGCCCACGGGCCACATGCAGCCCACCTAGGACACTTATCCTGCTCGCCAGGTGTTTTTGCCGCTGCTGCCTGTCCTGCTTAGCAGCTGACTCGTCCCGGGGCCCACAGTCTAGCCCTCCAACGGTCTGAGGGACAGTGAACTGGCCCCCTGTTTAAAAAGTTTGAGGACCCCTGCCTAAAGGCTCTCAAGAGTGTCCCAGCTAGTCTCAAAATCCCTGCCTTTTACAAAGAGTAGATAGTATAGTTAATCAATGATTTGTACAAAATAGTGAGGTATTTTCCCCTTGCCCCGATGGGTGAGAGTGTAGTTGAAGAAGTACCCTTGGCAGGAGGGAGAATAGGAGGCACTTGATGGTGGTGAGGCATCTAAGGGAAAAGGTTACATCACACTAGGTGTGTATGGATGGTATAGTGGAGAGGGGTGAGGTAAATAGAGAACTTAATCTACTCCAGTGATTAAGCCTTTCCTTTTCCTCCCCTCTTCCAAGAAAAGGCTCAACATCAGCTCCATGGCCAATATCTCCAAGTAAGTAAGAACTCCTTCTAATGCTCTGAACATGTGAATTGGTCCCTGCCCAAACCTAAGTATTTGCCTCTGTGGTAGAGGGGTTCCCAAACTTTCCCTAATTTGTGGCCATGGACTCTACCCGACTAACCTTTACCTTTGTTCTATCCTATGCTTCTGTAGCTACTTCTTTTGATCCTGGGAATATTTCCTTTTCTCCCCACTTCCCTTTTTTTGCTTTCACTTCCTTCCTCACCCCTATTCTCCCAATCCCCATAGGGTGTTTAAGAAGACCAGCTCCAATGGGAAGGTGAGAACTTGGCCCAGCTGGGAAAATGAGAGAACAAAAGGGATAGGTGGTTACATCCTTCAGGGTCTCAGGGGTTTGGACTGGGGGATTCAGAAGAATCCATTCTAAGATGATGGTGAGAATAACATCGGAGGTTGTTCCAATACAGCTCTCCATCTACCTGGGGAAACGGGACTTCATGGACCATGTGGACATGGTGGAACCCATTGGTGAGTCCAAAAAAGGGAAGAGCCTGGGGAAAAGGGAATGGGAGTCAGGAAATAAAAGAAAGTCCAGGAAGGACCATGCAGAAAAGGAAGCCAATTCAAGGGAAGAATGGGAAGAACAATTTCAAGAATTAACTTCTGCTTCATTGTCTGAGAGTTTTTCCTAACCAAGGTGCTATCTCCTCCTCTTTTCACAGATGGTGTAGTCCTGGTTGATCCTGATTACATAAAGGGTCGAAAGAGTAAGTGGCAAGCCTGTTGGTCTTTGTATGTTCCCCGGGTCCCAAACTGAAACATGGCACATGCCCCTTCCCCAAATAACACATAGTATTTAAGATAAAATATTTCTAAAGCATAAATAAAACTTTATTTTTTTAAATTATCCAACACTGGGTGGCACCTGTGGCTCAGTGGATAGGGCACCGGCCCCATATATCAAGGGTGGTGGGTTTGAACCTGGCCCCGCCCAAGTGCAACAAAAAATATCTGGGCGTTGTAGTGGGTGCTTGTAGTCCCAGAAGGTTGCTGTAAGCTGTGACACCACGGCACTCTACCAATAGTAATAAAGTGAGACTGTCTCTAAAAAAAAAAAAAAAAAAAAAAATTACCCAAAACTTACATGCCTACTAAAATTAAAATAGGTTCTTTCTAAAATTTCTGATTTTCTCTGTTATTGTTGGTGGCACCCCTGCTTGGCTATTGATTTGAGTACAGGCTTAGATTGCGCATGGAATAATCTAAACACCAGAAATCCATATTTTTATGCCAATTTCCTGATTTTCATTTAAAAGGCCTGGGTAAATTAAAAAACATTTGTTTATGTAGGTTGGATGTGACTCTCAGGGCTGCCATTTTGCAACCTCTGGTATATGTCTTTCCATCTCCCTTTTTGTGTAGAGAAACTGCCTAACCTTTCTTTTAAAAAACTTCCACACAAAAAAACAAAATGACAACCACAGGAAGTAACAGCAAGTCACATTACTCTCGCAGCAGTACAAAATTACACTGAAATATTTTTATTGCTTTTTTCCTATTTAATTTTCACTATGGAATAATCCTACTGTGATCCAACTAGACTGAGAATTGGGTTTGCTTTGAAAAGGACTCAGAATGAGTTGATGAATACTAGTTCAGATGTAACCTTTAGATATTGGAGAATAAAGTAGCCTTAATCTCTCAGATTAAGCAGTGTGGATAAGCAATCCCACCAGTTTTAAATATCAGAGAAATTTAGGCATATACCCACAAATTAACCAACTTATTTAAGATTTTCAAGTACTCTATATTTCTAAAACCTAAATCATTTGTTCACCTTCCTACAAAATCTTAAGAAAAAACTATGAAATTTTTGGTTTAAAAAAATACATGTTAACCCAGGAATAAGATGCATTTTACTTTTATTCTAATCTTTTTATTTGTAGTTTAAGTTGTGCATATTTCTTTCTTAAGTTTATTCCCAGCTATTTTATACATTTTATTACTTTTATGAATCTTATCTTATTTGCATCATTTTTTTTTTTTTTGTAGTTTCTGGCCAGGGCTGGGTTTCAATCCGCCACTTCCAGCATATGGGGCTGGCACCCTACCCCTTTGAGCCACAGGCACCACCCCACTTTTTTTCTTTTTTTTTTTTTGGTCATTCCAGCCTAGATACCAAAGGAACCAGTCTGATCTATCTGTTACAGCAAAGATTCATAGGAATTAATAGCTCTCAGTCTTTGAAAGTCTAAAAATTACTTTATCATTCCCTCACTCTGGAATCATAGTTTACCTGTGCAG